GGCCGAGAGGGCGGCGGCGGCGGCGGCTCCCCAGGAGGTCTCTGGGTTTTGGTGTTTCCGGCAGGCTAAGGTCTGACTCCTCCTCCCTCCACCGCCTCCCCCGCCCGCGGAGCCACCATCTTGACCTCGCCCGCTGGCCTCTGCCGTTGCTGCTGTGGCGAGGCCCGGAGGCTGCGCCGTCAGTCAAGCCAACCGCAGAGTCCGCGCCCACTGCCTGCGTCATAATCCAGCGCTAGGGACGGTCACCACGTCGTCATCACGCAGGGTTGCCATGGTTTCCGCCCACCTCCGCGGGTTTCTCTAGCTTCATGCCACCCCGTGGCGCATGCGCTTTTCGGTAGCCGCGCTTTTCGGTAGCCGCGTTTTCCGGCCTTGGGGTTGCAGCTTCACCCTCGCAGAGTCGGCTTAGCGAAGGGGTAGGTGCTTCCGCTGGGCAAAATATTAGCCGTTTTATTAGAGCCCATTAAACGTTGCATAAACATGGTTCAGAGCTTCCAGGGAGAAGAAAAGCCAAAAGATGCCGCCCTCTCGACCTATCCCACCCGCGGGAGTCTGAAAGCCGACGCCAGGAGAAATGCCGCGAAGGCCGCCCGGGATTCTGGTAGGGGCGACGCTGTGTGCGTTTATGGAGCGCTTGCGGTGCGTGGCACTGGGCTGCGTGTGGTGGGCACTGCCAAGAAAAAGGTTCCTCCCATCCATTTGCACATCACCCTTCCCACCTCCTGCCCAGATGGGGATGTCCAGAAGTGAGGACATTCATCGGCCGCATTTTACTAATGGCAAGGAGATAGCGACTGAAGGGCAAGAACGTAGGGTTTCCTGTCTTTGATATTTCTCATCTTTGAGGTAAGTACACCTGGACAGTCCTTTCCTTCCTCCTCAGGGCTCATGCTTTCTTGCCTATCCATGTAATTAATATGATCTGGCTATCTTTCTGTTCCGAAACTTAAGCAGCAAATGAAAGTGTAAGTTAGACCTTGCTATCCTAGTTTAAGGGGGATAAAATAGGAATCAAGAAGCCTGGCCCACTTGAGCGCCCAGCCCAAGTGCATTTGCAATCCAGTTTATATTAGTCCTCCATGTGGGTGGCTATACTTTATCAAGATTCCCCCCCAAGGGGAGGAGGATTATTAGTCACATTATCAAACTCCCCTCCAACCCCTTTCTCTGCTTAGAGGTATGTGTAACGTGTAGTAGAAAGATCGAATCCCCACGCAAAAGTCCGTGCTGCTACTCATTTTTTTAACTTTCTGTTCTTATCGTTTACCCTACTCCCTAACAATGACCGCCATTTATCTGCTGCTTAATGGATACTAGGCACTGTCCTAAGGGTTTTATATGTTACTTCAATCTTTTCATCAGCTTTATTTTGGTAGTTTGTTTTACAGAGGAGGAAACTGAGACTTAGGTAAGTTACAAGATGACAGGGTTACTACCTTGTTCAGTTAGTAGTCAGCAGCGAGTATATCTAAAGATAGTGCGAGTCAGAACTAGGATTATAAATCCAGAGCTACCTGAAACTCACAACTTCGGGCATCTTTGATTTCTTCTTTTCACCCACAGCCAATTCTTCGACTAAATTGTATCCATTCTGTTTTCACTGTCTCTTGTACTGGTCTCCTTTCTATTGTAACTGTCATCATCCTAACTCAAGATCCTTCTGTAGCTTTCCCCGGTTATTGCAATATCCTCATTACGATTGCCACCTTTTCTAATCCAGTCTGTTTACTACTGCCAGGTTAATTTCCCCAAACTGCATATCTGGGGAATAACCTTGTGGTTATGACGAAATTCCCAAAGGAAAGCAAACTTGGCAAGGTGCAAAGACTATGAAGACTTAGAATTTAAGAGTTCTGTGGAGATCTTCAGAGATATAAATTAGCTACTCAACATATCTGTTATTCTGCCCTGACTGCACTGTAAAGCAAAAAGAGAGAGGCCATTATGGGGGAAAAGATCCAAAAGGACTCCTAAAACACAAGTTGGGTAGAGGAGATAGGTGACTACTATCGTATTATGTTCATGGAAAATAAGTTCATGGGCTTTCCTCTAATTTTTATTTTAAAAGTAAATATACTAAAATAAAATTGTTTTAAGTGAACAAATGCTTCAGTCTTTATTAATGTTTTAACTGTTGCTGATCTTAATTTGATGTACAAATTTTATTAGTATAAGAGTTTCTGAGACTAAATTCCATCTTGGGCCGAGAACCTTCAGGAGTGGTGGCAGAGCCTTTCTTATCTTTTTCATACAGCTTCTCCAAGCAGGCTCTCTGCCAAGCTTGTCCAGCCCACCTTATTTTGTTACTGTTGTTGTTCTGTTTTGTTTTAGGCTTTTAACAGTTTGAAGCCGTGGTTTTTAGCTTCTGTTTCTAGTGATAAGCAGAAAAGAGGGATGAGGAAGTATTTACTGGCCCAACCAGAAACGGAAACTAAGAACCCAAGACTATATTCTCTCCCTTGGACACCCCTGCGTGAGCTCTCTTTTTCCATCTCTAAAATGAAGGTTTGAATAAGATCCTGGCAACTGTGTTAAAATATTACATTAAAATTAAATTTATAGTAATGAGGTAATTGATAGGATGCTTAGGAATTTTTAAGATAAAAGATATTTCCAGCTGGGTGTGGTGGCTCATACCTGAAATCCCAGCACTTTGGGAGGCCAAGGAGGGTGGATCGCTTGAGCCTAGAAGTTCAAGACGAGCCTGGCCAACAAGGCAAAACTATATCTTTACAAAAAAATTGTAAAAATAGCTGGGTGTGGGCCGGGCGCGGTGGCTAACACCTATAATCCCAGCACTTTGGGAGGCTGAGGCAGGCAGATCACAAAGTCAAGAGTTCAAGATCAGCCTGGCCCACATGGCAAAACCACATCTCTCTTAAATATACAAAAATTAATCAGGTGTGGTGGCGGGCACCTGTAATCCCAGCTACTTGGGAGGCTGAGGCAGGAGAATTGCTTTAACCTTGGAGGCGGAGGTTGCAGTGAGCCAAGATGGTGCCACTGCACTCCAGCCTGGGTGACAGAGTGAGACTCTGTCTTGAGGGGGGAAAAAAAAGTAGCTGGACGTGGTGGCACACGCCTGTGGTCCCAGCTGCTCAGGAGGCTGAGGTGGGAGGATCACTTGAGCCTCGGTAGCAGAGGTTGCAGTGAGCCAAGATCACACCACTGTACTCCAGCCTGGGCGACAGAGTGAGACCCTGTCTCAAAAAATAGGTAGTGTTTCCAAGAAATAACTACAATTAACTGAATCTAATCTTTGCTTGATTTCTGCATTGATTTGAATGTTGCACAACTCAGGTGTACATTTACATTGAGTCTGCATAAACAGTGTGGTTCATGAGTATGTGTGTGTGTATGTGTATTCACACAAACATACAAACTGTATACATAGAATACCTGTGTTCGAAAATAACAATCTGTTATAAATCCTTCAGATTTAACAGCTCAGAAAGCCTTTTAGTAGCTTTCAAAACGTTTAGAGGAAGGATGTGTAAAAATTAGTTTGAATTTTCTCTTGACATTTGCATTAATGAAGTCTTTTTTTCCTACAATAGAAACTGATTCTTCTGGGTTATCTTAAGCAAGAAAGGAATTTATTAAGGGGTTATTTTCATTATTCCTCAAGATTTCAAGTCACAGGAGAGACCATCTATATTAGGCCATTCTTGCATTGCTCTAAGTACCAGAGGCTGAGTAATTTATAAGAAAAGAAGTTTAATTGGCTCACAGTTCTGCAGGCTGTACAGGAAGCCTAGTGCCTGCATCTGCTTCTGGGGAGGCCTCAGGAAGCTTTTGCTCATGGCAGAAGGTGAAGTAGGATCAGGCACTTCACATGGCAAAAACAGGAGCAAGGGGGTGGGGGTAGGTGTCACACACTTTTAAACAATCAGATCTCATGAGAACTCACTACGATGAGGACAGCACCAAGCCATGAGGGATCAGTCCCCATGACCCAGACACCACCAGGCCCTACCTCTAACTGGGAATTACATCTCAACATGAGATGTGCAGGGGAGATCCAAACTATATCACCATCCAATTGGTCAAGCTTACTGGATCATGTATCTGCACCCTAGCTTCCTTAGTGGGAGGAAGCAGTAGGAAACGTGTACTTGGATTTAACCCCTTCACTAATATGTATTTTCTACTAATATGTATTTTCTTCAAGTGGAAGATAGGGATACTGGTAGGAAGGGTAGTGTCCTAGTCTGTATTCTGTGGTTTATAACAGAATACCTGAAACTGGGTAATTTATAAAGAAAAGGAATTCATTTCTTGCAGTTAGGGAGGAGACTGAGAACTTCAAGGTGGAGGGACCACATCTGGGGAGAGCCTTGTTGCTGATGGGGACTGCAGGGAATCATATGGTGAAGGGGCTGAGCATGCCCACTCAGGCCTTTCCTCCTCTCTCTATAAAGCTACCAGTCCCAGGCCAGGCGCGGTGGCTCACGCCTGTAATCCCAGCACTTTGGGAGGCCGAGGTGGGCAGATCACCTAAGGTCAGGAGTTTGAAACAAGCCTGGCCAACGTGGTGAAACCCCATCTCTACTAAAAATACAAAAAATTAGCCTGGCATGGTGGGAGGCTGAACAGAACAGAAAGTCTAGAAAAACTCCACACATATAGGGTCACTTGATTCATTAGAAAAGTGACACTAGAGTGCAGTGGGAAACGGATAAGCCAACAATATAATAGGA